TGGGGGGGGGAGATAAACTGTACATGTGTGTGTGTGTAAGAGAGAGAGAGAGAGAGAGAGAGAGAGAGAGAGAGAGAGAGAGAGAGAGAGAGAGTTGGAAGGGGATGGAGAGTGTGTGACGTCTTTCAAGATCTGTCACAGTAAAACCAGTCTGTATGAAAGGTTATACAGAGTTCCTTGGGAAGAATAGCAAGCAAATTGAAAGTAATAAAATGCCACTATTCTACTGTTATTGGAATTGATTCTGTCAAAATTGATGCATTTTCTTTTCTAGCCAGAAATATGATAAAGGGTAATGAGGTTGAAAATGTATTAAAGAAAGGAAAATGTCATATCCCTGCAAAATTGTATCTTATCTAAAGAAGCTTTAGAATAGGAACTCAGCATATCAGATAAGACCAGAGAAGACAGCATGGTCCTTTCCTCTCCAGACAAATCAGTGTAACTAATCTATAAGTTATGAATGGCAAAAGTTCATCAATATGTTCAGTAATCAGGCTAGGTGGTGAGATGGCAAGAGTGGATAATGTTGAGCCTAGAGACTGACATCCTTCTCTGTTGATACCCAAACACTGTTCCAGTTAGTTCTCCCAGTTGAGTGCTCTGTTACTCTGTCTGTACCCAGAGACTATTCCAGTAGTTCTCCCAGTTGAGTGCTCTGTTACTCCTGCTGCTTTGAGATGTTAAATTGACCACTGAGGGCATTATAGGATGTGATCTGTGCTCCAGACTGGTAAACAGAAGTAAGAGTGTGTTTGGTAATCTTATAGACATGCATTTTTAGACTAGATGTTTTGGTGTTAGATTAATGACAAATAGCTTGCTGCACATGGTCATTATTGGGAGGGGGGGGGGGCAGTAGTCTTAGAGATGAATATTTGTAGTCTGGAAGATGGGTGTCATTATTCTGGGAGACGAGTATAAGTATTTTTGAAGCCTGTCCCAATGCTTGTCTTGTTCAATTCCCAATTCATAATATCACATACATTTCTAAAGATAACCAGATGCTGTTTCTGTTGTAATGAAGCTCATTAATTGTGTGAAGAGATAGATAACCCTGCAGTGACTGGCTGGCATGGTATGGAAGATCCCAGCCAAGTACAGCTAGTGACTGGAACACAGTACCCTCGGGGTTACAAATATCAGATCAATTCTAGAACAAAGGACATACAAGATTAACTGCACCATCTTGTGTGCTAAGTTATTACTGGATTAGCACAAGGTGTCACGCTGGGCTTTGTTCAGAGTTATCCTATTGATTTGTAGATTATGTTGTGTGTTTTAAGGTATTTGTTTTATTATAATAATTCATTATCCAGATAGTAATCTGTTGTACCCACTGATCACATTGGTACTTGTATGGATTCTTTTCTTTGTTCCAGTCATCACTATAAGTCTGTGATTATATCTTATGTTTTAGATTGACATTAAAAATCTTATGCATTAGATAGAAAAAATTGACACACAGGCTGCATACTGCTCATGATAGTTAATATACTGAACTATTGCATAAAACAGTCACACCTAACACAGCCACATCTACCACACTCAAAGACCTCCACTATCAGAATGAAAACAGCCAGACTTACAGATTTTTATGTGGTAACTTCATTTTGCCATCTTGGTAGAAATTATGAAAAAATAGGCATATTTTTTACTTTATCACAAACTATATAACTATCTGGTCATGGTTAGCTGCATTGTGCACTGCTATATCTCACAATGTTTACTTATATTCTAGGTTGGGAAGTGGAGTTGCCTCTGTTTGAGTTGACACCGTCAGCCAGTCAGATTGTATTCCAAGGCGATAAGCTGCCATTTGAGTGTCGTGCCTCTGTACTGGACCAGACCACACGGATGATGTGGCTGCGTGGTGGTCAGTTAGTGTCCACTAACAAGTCAGCAGGTGTCTATGTCCACACAGCGCTGTCTCCTGACCAGACAGTGATGACCCATAGTTTGGTTCTGGAACACCTAACAGTACAAAACTCTGGGGCCTGGGACTGTAGTGTGGTCACTGAGTACGGCAATGTGTCACGGTCAGTGAACATTCTGGTTGTGTCCAGTGAGGAGTTGTACTGCCCAGAGACCACCGTGTCCACTAACAAAGGAGACTACACATGGGAGAAGACAGTGGCAGGGATACCCAAGGAGCAGCCTTGTGCCTTCTCTGGAGGTCCTGGTCGCTCTCGTGGCCAGTCCCGCAGTCAGTCACGTGCCAAGTATAAGTGCAATAACAAGGGTCAATGGGAGCAGCTGGACGTGTCCCAGTGCCAGTTTATCAACGAGAGGACAAGGGTCCTAGAGCAGTACACACAGGTAAAATTTGGGTCCTAGAGCAGTACACACAGGTAAGATTTGGGTCCCAGTGTCAATTAGATAACATTGATATTGGGGGAAGTTGCAAGGTCGCAATGAATGCTTTTGCTTTACGCTTGAACGAAACTCCTTTCATAAAGCTTGTTGCCTTGACCAAATATAATCGCTGTGTTATATCTTAAGGACAGTGTGGAAAAGGAGGCTTGCTTATTGGTTGACATACTTTGCTTATGGTTTTGTTGCCTTCTGCAGTGATATGTTATTTCCTGGAAGCTGATGTTTGGCCTTGTGATGTGTTCTTCTGTCCAACAATGTGCACTGTCTAAAGTCTACATTGCTTTATAGAAAGAAGTTTGGAAATATAGAAAATAAAAAAAACAAACTATTTTTGAAAGAAGAAATTACTTTCTACAATCTACATTTATAACACAAAATATGACTGAATACAATAAGAGTTTTCTATTTTAAAAGCATGAAAACAATACAGAGAAATCTAAAATATTCTGTAAATGCTGATTTTTCTAGCAAATTTCCATGCTTATCAAGGTTCAAACTGATGCACAACCTTTTCTGAAATGATCACTGTGTAAAGCTTTCTCTTTCCTTGCTGTGGAGAGCACTGCTGGTGTCTGTCTGCACACTGCTTGTCTACTATTTCAGCTTTCCAGCACCACTCCAACTAGCACCACCTTAGAGCACTGCTGTGAAGAACTGCTAGCAGCAATGGGAGGCGCTCTCGGCCACCAGGTCTGTGCACTGGTAGATAGAGGGAGTTGATAGTCATGATGAGACCAAATTAAGCTTGCTTACAATATTGTTGCATTAATGCTTCAAAAGCTAGAAGTTTTAGCAGTAATGAAAAATATTGAATATAAAAGAACAGTAAAATACCTTCAGAATGAAACAAGATGGCACCCTTTTCAATTTGATAGCGGGCAGAACTTGGGTGTAAAAATAAATAATATGGAAGGAGACGGGCCAAACTCATGACATTTTTTCAACCTTCTTATCTGTGCATGCTGTCCTAGTCCTTGTTTTCTTGCTTCTGGATATTGTTCTTGTAGACATATCTTCTAGTGAATGTAAAAAACAGAGTTGGTTACATAAAAGTTTTGTAGAATACATATTTACAGCCAAGCTTATGTAATGACAAAGCCCTGAATACTACAGAGGGCTGTAGTTTAAGCTTTAGACTGCATTCAGATGTACACGTCATACTTGCTGGGTTGGTTCTACTTTGAGGAGAATTCTTGCTTAAGTACAATCAGTGCAATCAGCTTAATTGCCTGACATGCATCTTTGAGCAGCTAGGGGTAGTTAACTATTGTGTTCTGATTAAACTGATTTCACTGATGCACTTTAATGAGAATCACCCAGTTGGACTGACCTAGCTTGTGCAATGTATGAATCTGAATGTGCCCTGAGTGTGGTGAGTTTTTATCTTTCCATTCCTTGTGATTGGCTTTCCATCTCGTTGTAAAAGAACAACACAATAACATCATCTGGAGTCAGTACCAATTTATCCTTTAAGTTGAAGACATACTGCACTTCAGTCAATGTTTGTGCTGATGTATGATGCAAGTCATTTTTATCTTGTAGCAGTCCATCAACTCCAGTAATGTGGTTGCCATGGCATCACGACTGAACACCTATATCTCCTATCCTAAAGCTCTGACCAAGATGGACATTGTCTTCATATCCCGGGTGCTGGAAACCTTCTCCAATTATATGGAAAATCATGCAGAGGTAAAATGCACTGTATAGCTTAAATGAAATATGAGGCAAAATTTCAAATTATTTTGATAAGCCAGAAACTAATTATTTTACCGCTTATTTTCCATTTCAGAACTGACAGAAATTGCCCATTTTCAAATTGTCTTTCTCTCTTTCAGATTGCAGAAAATATAGTGAATATTATCAGTAATTTAACCACAGTTGATGACTCCATATTGCGGGCCAGTCAGGAGGAGTATGGTGCTTGTAGTAGGTGGGTAGAACCACACTGCTTCTCAAATAGTGGATAAAAACACGACTTACAGTATCACATTTTAATACATGTTAACATATCATAATGCATTGGAACATATGTTGAAGTATTGTTTTACAGAGTTTTGTAAAGTGTAACCATCTTTCTAAGTCACTTTTGTCACTATTGATTGCATGACATTCGGTGTGGACTGTCACAGATCCTAAAGATAGAGGTTTTTAGAGTCTTGACATTATATTTTAGTAAATAAACTTAGAACAGTTTACATAGGAATTATGCTCAGAATTTTACTCTTCTGATTTTTATTGATCACAGTGTAGTAAAGGTGTTGGAGAAACTCCCCAGCAAGTTGTTGAGTGACAGGAGTCACATGAGTCTGTATTCAGAGAATATCGCGGTGGAGGGGTTTCAAGTCAAAGCAGACGTGTTTCAAGGACTGACATGTTACACACGCCCCACTAGGGCTGGGCAGGCAAACAAACATGGCTACTCCAAGGAGAACTTTATCTGCAGTTCCTCCATGGATACTGGGCCCAGTGGCACTCCAGCCATATCTAAGGTAGACTGCTACACTCCTGGTTACATCTTAGACCCTAGAAATGGCACTGCTACTGAGTTCGTGGTGGATGTTTAATGAGATCAAAAACTCTTTTGTTACAAAATAAGTAAAAGCTCACATATTTGTGTGCAAACTCTAAGGGTCACACAGTTGTCCTATATTTCAAATGCCTGACTTCTTTATTTATAGTTAGTGACAAAGAGACTTTCTTTTTTTATTATTTTAGTCTGTGACAAAGAGATTTAATTTCTTTCATCTACAAAACTGATGAAAATAATCTAGACACTGGAACATGATAACCTGTAGCTCACATCAGTTTGTAGAGAAGTAAATCACACAGCAGTTAATTAGGAATTTATTTAATTTAATAACACATATTTAGAATTGAGGTTAAACAATGCCTGCCATTTCAGAATATCAACAGTTCCATCCACCTGCCCGCCTCTCTGTTCAGGAACACACGTAGCCTGTATGGCATCAGTGGCCCCCTCTATAGGCTACAGGTTATTGCCTACAGGAATGCCAAACTTTTCCCTGTGACTGGGTCACGTAACAGCACAGGGATCACCTCTACTCGCGTCCATTCTGGTGTTATTTCCAGTAAAATAGGTCAGTGTTCTGGGTTCCTAGCTCCCAGTCAGACTACATGTGGCATATTTAAACAACAACTATCTCACTGATGTTAGGTAAAAAACAGAAAAGGAATCTTCTTGTTAAAGTTGCTTTAACAATGAGATTAAAAATTACTTTAAGTACAGGTCCCTTTTTTTCTTTGTTATTGCTGTGTGTTGATCTAAAAGTCTTTAGTAAAGCTCTTTATTGAAATTATTTGTCTTAGATATTGAAAAATGTGATTTTAGATTGCATTTACATGATAACTGAAATAGAAATAAGAAGCTGCTACTGTGGAAATAACTTTTGGGAAGAACTGATCAAAATAAAACCTGTTATTTCAGCTGGCATCCAGGTAGAGAATCTGACAGACCCTGTGATGATCCAGGTGTCAGCACCAGTCCCCTCAGACCAGAACAGCCAGCTTGTTCCTGTTTTCTGGGATTTCACTGCTAATGGTAAGTTGTATGTGGTAGAGAAGACATCTGCACAATCTTTGTTACCTCTGCTGATGATAGATAGATAGATTGTAGTATAAAGACATCAGTACAGTCATGGTGATTTCTGCTACTGGTAAGTTGATTGTGGTAGTGAAGACGCCTGCATAATCCTTGTGATATCTGCTAATGGTAAGGTGAGTGTGGAAGACGAGAATCTGCACAATCCTAGTGACAGTTCATTAGATTTTCCTCAACTTTCAACCCCATATTTACACTCTGACTAGAACTGATATTTTGGATATTTTCATAGTGGGAACCTGCTTTTATTAGCAAATGTTACATTAAAGCTTAATATTGAGAACTAAAATGATTGCGTTAAGCTTAGACTTGAACACATCATGCAACTGCTCTGCCTAAGAAAATAGCTCATAATAAAAGTCAAAATGGTGAGAAATCAACTCCTTATTTGTCAACTGTTCCAGAGGGGCGTGGTGGCTGGGAGAGTAGAGGCTGTCAACTTGTTAGAACAGAAGGCAACATCACAACCATGGCCTGCTTTCACCTCACTAACTTTGCTCTTCTCATGGTGAGTAGAAATATGGGCTATTTAGATTTCTACAATAAATGTGGAAAAAGTGGATACGTTTTGGTTATCTTTTGCATGCTTTAATCACATTTATATATCCATCAAAGAATATTTTGTATATAAATATTTAGAAAATAACACAGACCTTGGTATAGATAAGGTGAAGCATAAAATGTCCATTGACACCAGGGAATTGGTCTTGCCTCTCAGATGGAATTAAACCTTGTATTTATATCAAGTGATTTACGCCAACTAATGCTTTAACTTGAAGAAAGTGCATTTGAAGCTTATTAATTGCCCAACTTATAATTTGGTATGTAATGACCCTCTCCCCTTTTAACAAGTCTTATCATTTTTTCTGGACAAACCATTTGTTATGTGTCTAAGAAATTGACTGTACAGGAAAAATAACAGCATTGGGGTTAGTCCAAGTGTTGTTTGTATCTGCTGATGTCTTTAGACTGACTTGAAGAAATGCCAATATTAGTGATAGAAGTGAAGTCAGTGGTGGGCAGGCAGTACTCCAGGCCAGATTGCAGTGGTAAAGGTTAGCCTATGTGTTCAATTAGGACTGAAGATACTGTGGAGCTACATGGAATAGCTAGCTAAATGGCATAGCTAGTTTCTATTTGGATATCACAGTAAGGAGTGGACCTTCCTGCCCGTCTGAATTTGGTGACATCTAGGCACAGAAAAGAACAGAGCTGACAGCATAACAACAAATTTTATCTTAGGCCATGTTTAAAAAATGAGCTAAAAAAAGTGGCTAAGGCAATTTTGAATGGTGAAAACATAATTTTTGATAATAGAGTAAGACTGAAAATTCAAGTTTTAAACTTTTATAGGATTTTTTATACAAAGGAGAAAAGTAAAGCTAATTAATTAGGGACAACTGCAAAACAGCGTTGTATGCTAAACTAACTGGTGTCTGTAGATTATCAGAGACTGGGACAGTGATCAGGTTGTATGTGAACAGGTGTCTGTAGATTATCAGAGACTGGGACAGTGATCAGGTTGTATGTGAACAGGTGTCTGTAGATTATCAGAGACCGGGACAGTGATCAGGTTGTATGTGAACAGGTGTCTGTAGATTATCAGAGACTGGGACAGTGATCAGGTTGCATAACAATTATTTGCTTCTTTAGGTCTTCACAACTCAAATCAGTATACGTATTCTGTTCTTCCAGTTGGATGTGTCCGGCCTCTATACAGTGAACTTGTTTGCAGTCTGGATTGTTTATGCTTTTAACTGTTCTTATGTAAACAAGCATTCAAAAGAATGGGAGGGAAAACTTTCAACCCTGAGGAGGCATTAGATTAGGCACAAGCAAGACCCTGTTTGGAATAGTTAGATTTGATACCTGGATGATTATAACTGGATATTGTATATCCTCAGTAATGGCCCTATAGTTAAAACAAAATAAGTGGTATGTGTATAGAGATTGGACTTATAGTAAATAAGGAGTTATTCAGCCACAGGGCATACACAGTAGTGCAATAGTGGCAGCATAAAACATGTTTGCACAAGAGAAAGTTAAATACTTGAAAGATTTAGTTAAGAGCTTGACATTAGTCCAAGTGAATAGGGGTTGTATTGGGCTGCATTGAGGTTCAGGGTAATAGCCCCTCAGTGAAGGGGGTGTTACATGACATAGAGTCAGGCTAGAGAGGAACAAGTGTCTACTATAACTTGTAATAGGAGGTCAATACCATCTTAATATGTGTACTATGACATCAGTCACTACATGACACCACTGGACACATGGACTGTGATAACATGGACACATAGATGATGTTACATGGACATAAGGACAGGGATACACATTTTGCAGTATGTAGGTCTATAAGGAAGCAACAGTCTTAGATCTATAAAGAAGCATCAGTCTGTTCAGCAAGTGAGAATTTAGGTTTACTGCACAGAATTGTACTTGAGAGAGGAACTGATCCAGTAACTGACATGGGTTAGGTAGAAACCAGTGATAACAGTGTGGATGGATCCAGACTTTGATATGAATACAGAGCATTCTTAAGAGGAGGTAAGGGAATGTTTGTCACAATCATGAGAACTAATTAAGCTAGGCTATAATTTTTTCAAAAAAATTGGATGAATTTTATTATAAGGTTGTAAGGTATAGTAGAAGGAAATGTTTCACTTGAACCCAATTAGATGATATTCATATGAAGTTGATTTTGGTGTCTTCCCCCCCCCCCCCCTCACTACACCTATAGATAGAGAGGAAAGCAAGCAGTTCAAGATGTTCTGGTTTGTTTACACTGCAGTCTGGTTTTCTTTGAAGTTAACTCTACTTTGCCTGAGTACAGGTGACTGCAATTATCTCCAGCATCTGGCACTCATACATATCCATGCTTAGGGCACCAAAATAAGTAACAGTGCCCCACAAATGGTTGATGCCTGATGTTGCATGCCCATTTGTCCAGAGTCATGTCCACATAAAAGTCACTGGCCTGAATGCATTAGGATAGCCTGGAAGACGTTTTGCCATGTTTCCTATTGCTGCATGAATTTTCATTATGAGAATAGGCATTTAATATATTTCCTTCATTGGTGGTTAAGTATTTGGCTTGACTGTATACAGACAGATAGCAAGGTAAAATGACACTATTTCGCTGGTGAATCCCAGCACAGAGGTCAGCTGTGTAGTGATAATCTGGCTGAGAATAATTGATAATGTATTGAAAAAGCGTGGCATCAATGCAGCACAGTGAAATCTATTAGTAGTAGTGTATTTGTGTAGGACTAAAGAAATGAAAAATATTGCAATGTGTCAGGGGTACAATGTGAATACAGAAGTGCTGAAAAGCATGACAGACACAGTGAGTAGTGTAGATAATTCAGGGATATTGTGGGTAGATAAGGAGTGATGAGGATAGTTCTTGGGGACTGTGGGTAGTTCAGGAGTACTGTAGGTAGTTCAAGGATACTGTGGGTAGTTCAGGAGTACTGTGGGTTGTTCAGGGGTACTGTGGGTACTTCAGGAGTACTGTGGGTAGTTCAGGGATACTGTGGATAGTTCAGGAGTACTGTGGGTAGTTCAGGGATACTATGGATAGTTCGGGTAGGTAGTTCAGGGATACTGTGGGTAGTTCAGGAGCACTTTGGGTAGTTTAGAGGTACTATGGGTAGTTAAAGAATATTTTGGGTAGTTCAGGAGCACTGTGGGTAGTTCAGGAGTACTTTAATGCATGAAAAGACCATCAGGCTCTGTGGCAACTAAAAACTATCAGTATATCAGTTCACCCTGAAAGGTCAATAGAATAAAAATAATCACATTGTTTGGCATCCTGTAAATGTCTCTTATGCAGGGTGGTCTGGTCATGGTGATTTCTTCTATCTTTGAGATACAATATAGCTTCTGGTTCTGAGGGAAAGAACAGCATCATAATGGGAGAGTATGATAGAGCATGGTTAATTGATTTATTATATATTATGACAGCATAGTGGATTGCTTACATTGTATTCAGTACATTTTGTGAGGAACTTAGGCATGCAATTCACTGATATGTTTGTTAGNACTGTGGGTAGTTCAGGGATACTGTGGGTAGTTCAGGGATACTGTGGGTAGTTCAGGAGTACTGTGGGTAGTTCAGGGGTACTGTGGGTAGTTCAGGGATACTGTGGGTAGTTCAGGAGCACTGTGGGTAGTTAAGGGATACTTTGGGTAGTTTAGAGGTACTATGGGTAGTTAAAGAATATTTTGGGTAGTTCAGGAGCACTGTGGGTAGTTCAGGAGTACTTTAATGCATGAAAAGACCATCAGGCTCTGTGGCAACTAAAAACTATCAGTATATCAGTTCACCCTGAAAGGTCAATAGAATAAAAATAATCACATTGTTTGGCATCCTGTAAATGTCTCTTATGCAGGGTGGTCTGGTCATGGTGATTTCTTCTATCTTTGAGATACAATATAGCTTCTGGTTCTGAGGGAAAGAACAGCATCATAATGGGAGAGTATGATAGAGCATGGTTAATTGATTTATTATATATTATGACAGCATAGTGGATTGCTTACATTGTATTCAGTACATTTTGTGAGGAACTTAGGCGTGCAATTCACTGATATGTTTGTTAGGAGGAAAGTGATACTTGGAGAAGTCTTGTGGTGGTCTTTGGGTAAATACAACATGGAAAAGTTAAAAAAAAAGAGTGAATTGTAAGAATTGGTCTAACCAAGCAAGTTAATGTATACCAGGGTGATCATGTCATCCATTAAAGGTGGGAAAAGTAGTTTTCTAACAAATAAAGAATGCTTTTAAAGTGCTTTTATTCATGGAAAAAAGGCAGAAAAAAACCAGGGCATTTTGAAAAATACCTCTTTGTTGATTTGATAACAGCTGCATTAATACACACAGGTTTGCTTCTCTCGTATCTTTGGCTGGTCCTACGTTTTAACCTCTATACACATATCTACTGTTTAATATTATCCAGGGCTCATTTACTGAATTTGGGCTTGCTTAGTAAACCAGAAAACTGCTTTTATAAGGAATGTAGAATACAGGCTACTTAACCTGATGAACCTGAGTCACTGAGCCACTGCCTCCAGTCAGAGCTGTACTTCAAGTTATTTATATTTATAAGGAATATTATGGATATTGTACAGTGAACCAGGTCAACAACCTTGTATTGAGTTTTTGCCCCAAGCTGGACATATGGACTGCTTTGTATTGTGACATAGGGCAGGTATAGAAGTACATGAAGTGTAATAGTACAGCAAAGGATTAAAGAGATATACAGGGCATTTTTTGATAAAATAGTGCAACTGTTCTGTTCAAAATGTTATAACTGTTTTTATTACAGGAAAAACTTGAGCCAGTAGTCCCGCAGCGTGACTGGTGGCAGATCTTTGATTGGCTGATAATGCTGGACCCAGTGGTGTATGTTGGGAGTGGTATCTGTGTCGTCTGCTTGGCTACTACCATCATTACTTACTGCACATGTCACAAGTAAGGAACTATTTGATTGTGAACTGTGATTATCTATTCCATTTACATGAACTCAAACTTTTTAGCAAATGGTGAATTGACTAAAAATGATTTTGAAAATCTGCAAACATCTTTGATTCAGATTTATCCGCATTCCAAAGAAAGCCAAGCACACGTTGGTGAACATGTGTGTCAGTCTGGTCTTCCTCATCCTGGTATTTACATTGGGAGTGAAGCACTATGAGAGCAGGAGAGCTTGCCAGGCCATTGGTATAGCTGTCCACTACTTCTCCATGACCACCTTCTTCTGGATTGCCATAGCAGCCAGGTGAGAAAAAGAGAACACCTGCTCTCTTCTCTAAGGCTATAGGCTCTGTGACTGTAATTGTGATGTGGGTTTTTCACTGTGTGCTGTTATATGTGACTGTTTCAGTCCATAGCCTTGTTTTATCACTAAAGATTAAAGAATTATTGCAAAAAAGTCATTAACGTCATAAGGTTTTATGTACTGTATTATTTTCTACTTACAGCAATATGTACAAAAGACTAGTGAAGTCTCGTAAACCCCCAGAGCCCCCACCCTCAGACCTGATGGGCCCCCTGCCCCCTAAACCCATGCTGAGGTTCTACCTGCTGGGCTGGGGTGTGGCTGTTATTATCTGTGGTATCACTGGGGCAGTCAGCCTGGACTTTTATATGGGACAGGAGTAGTAAGTGCTAGGGGACAATTATCACTGTGACATCTTTTTTCATACTTACTTAAAACATGCAACTGGGCAGTCTATGGTATGTGATGTAAGGGGATGTAGGTCAACATTACCTTGCCCATGCAAGTTAAAATAATTATATAAACTGTAAAAAAAGTAATTCAAGTAGAAATAGTATAATTGTATAAACTTTAAAAGAAAGAAAATAAAGTAGAAATATCCAGATAAAAGAAACTGAAATAAAATAATCCCAGAATAAGTAAGTGCATTTTAAAAGTGGTCATTATTCCCCACACTCCAGGCCATTCTGTTCTTGTTTCAGTTGTTTCCTGGCGTGGGAGCCGAGTCTGGCCTTCCTGGCATTCCTTGGTCCTACGGGGTTCCTTCTCCTCCTCACCTGTATCTTCTTTATCTGCACTGCCTGCCAGCTGAGTGGGGACAGCAAGGACTTCAATGATTCTGAGGAGACAGAGGAAATAGCAGAGAATGAGATAGAGTTGATCACCACAGAGAGGGGCTCTACGGGGGGCCAGACCAACGCTACCTGTATGTCCAAATCATCCACGGTGGTGGACGTGGAACATCGCACTATCAGCCAGCTGAGGGCGCTGGTCATTGTTCTCTGTGTGTTTATATTCATGTGGATATGTGGTGCTTTTGCTGCTGCTCGGCCATTTGCAGAGTCGTTGCCATATCAGAAGACATTGTTTAGTTACCTGTACCTGGTCAGCAGCTCAGGACTCGGGATATTCATCTTGGTTTTTTATGTGTTTTCAAGAAAAGATGTTCGTTTGTGCTGGTGGAGGTTTTTCTGCTGTGTGAAGACGCCTCCATATGAAGTTAATGTAAACTCAAACCCAGACACAATCAGTAATGGTAATGGGCCAATGACAAACATTAATAGTGCCCTTACCAATCATACAACCAATCACGTGCCAGCTGCTAATGGTCATGTGATCCAGACAGCAGTCCAGCAGTCAATGACCAGTCTCGACTCTGCACTTACGCTGAAATCTGCAAATACCAATCACACAAACCACTCCAGGAATATAAACTTGCCAAAGACTTCCAATCTGAACTTAGTCCCAGGAGGTGCCCTAATCCCCGGGGGTGGCCTGGCCCCAGGGGGGGCAGGGACAGACACCTCCATGCACAGTATACATGAGAACCAGCCTGCCTTCTATAACCCCAGACAGAATGGAGTGGCCAAGAAATACTGGGAGAAGAACCGCAGAAGACAGCAGCTGAAGCTGTTGAATAAGGAACTGAACACAGAGAAATACAATGGCTACAGCTCTGGCCAGGAGAGGACCAATGTGGTAGCATTTGGTGAACTACCAAGTAGTAATCGTAGCAATAGATTGAGTCAGGCCTCAAACAGTGATGCCAACACGCACCTCAGCATTGAAATCCAGGTACAGAGTCGACCGCGCACGGCGTCCCCTTATACTGACCCCCCACCCACATATAACAGTTTAACCCGTAACCCAGCAAACCGTTCTTTATCCAGAAGTCCAACTCCACACAGTGTGTCTTCCCCTCCACCTTCAATGGACAGGAATCAGCTGGAGCCTATAGTGGGGGGCCACAGGTCCCCCAGGGAGTCTGTGAACATAGCCCCACCCTTACCTCCCCCTCCTGTGGGGTACTGTACGGTTCCTGTGGGCCTGGGGGACAGCACTCTGCCCAAACCCAGGTGTAACCTTCATGCTGGTCATAGCAGTGAAGTCAATGGTGGAGTTCACATGGGCATCTGCCCAGCTCAGCCAAGACTGAGAGATTTTGACGGTCAGAGCTCAGTAAGTCAGGACACAAGACCAGCCTCTGTTGCCACGGATACAGCAGTACTGCCGGAGTACGCAGACTTGCAGGGGGTGGAGGCGTTCAAACCCCCAGCACCGCCATTATTGCCTGCTTCTCTACGGCGGTCACCTCTGACGCCAGCAGAGTTTGACCAGTTCCATACCCCTTACAAATCTCATGATTCCTTCAGTACCTCAAGGACCTCCATTGACTCTCATAGCAGAAGTAGGAGGTACAAACAGGGAGATAACTTCATAGATGAACTAGAACAAAGAATCCCCAAGTATAACAGAGCAATTTCTCCAGCTAGGTCTGATTCTTATTCCAGTATTTCTCGGAACAATCTGTTGTCCACGCACTCTGACAGTCCGTCAGACAGACATAGACTGGCACTGCTGGAGTCAGATGTTCAGTCGGACTCCCAGGCAAGGCCACATCTTCGGAACAATTCCAGGTCAAACGGTGCTCTACCTGGTCCCAAGACGCGGCACAGGTCACATGACTCGGACCACTCTGAGGGCAGCCATAGAAGGCGGAGACGCAGATCACATGGGAAACATAAGCGACCAATATCTAAACCCAAATCTCTGAACTGGGAGGAAGAGTTCAGGGACAGGCCGCGGGTAGTGCCCTATGTGTTTGTGAATAAAACATTTGATGAGAAGTCCAGTACCAAGCAGGACAGTAGTGACAGTGGACATAGAAGGCACAATGAGCGCGGAGGGTGGTTTCCACGCTCAGCTAGTGCCTATGATCAAATGGTTCCACATGGAGATGATGATTCTTCCAGTTCAGCACAAAGTGATGGGGAAAACAACATTTGGGTCCTGCGGAAAGAGAACAGGAGAAAAAGTTTGAACAAAGAAACAAGTGTATAGGAGCCATTTTGTACACTTTCAAATCACTTAAAGAGTGAATAATGAAAAGGGGAACACTAAGTAGAATGATGTTTTACATATTCCACGTATTATTTGTTACAGGTCACTAATCATGTGTCTATAAACCATGGATGCTTCCTCTGGTTTGCTAACTCAGCAACTTTAACTGTAGGTAGCTCAGGCAAAATGGCAAAAAAAAGTTGAACATTTTCAAAAATGTTTTCTAGTCATTTTTTGTACAGAGTGTTATATGTTTATTTACTTTTATAATTGCTTAAATGAAAATTTTGTTTTAATTTGAATTTTGATACTTACAAGATGTCCACCCACCTGCTGTATATATGTCTATATATATATAAAGTGAAAGTAATGGAGATTGAACTTTGGGAGCCCCACTGTAACAGTGGACAGAGCTTTGGGTATAAAGAAATTTGGCCTGGAAAAATAATTCTAATATGAAGATGGCTTTAATTTCTGAACAAATGATGTAATTATTTATTGTAGAGACATGCTTTTCGTGGAATAGATAATTGCATGACTGTAAAGTTGTAAGCATTACTAGCTCTTCCCTTACACGGTTTTTATCCGTTTTATTCCTTACTGTTATATTTTAATAAGGTAGGGTAAAGAGCAGAGAACAGGCAGTATATTTATAATTTACCATTTTATAAAGGTAACATAACTGGCAGACTATTTATAATAAGAAATGACTTTATTTGGTGCTGTGGTGTGAAGAAGACAATGTAGAAGTCTCAGGTAGCAAAGTGCATGTGACAATCATGTTTAATGTGTCGTGAGGAAAGCAGGGTCCCACACATTGACCTCCTGGTAGTTGGGATGTCCACATTAACATAGGTGTGCAATGTTTACAGGGCCTTGTTGCTATGAAGACAGGTGTCACATGAAACCAAGGGTCCAGTCAAAACTGACCCCCTTCCTGTGTATTGGAGATAAATCTCTCATTGATAATCAAAATGTTCAGCTCCATCAGGAGTGTTGTGTCTTGGTGGAGCAGGACAACATGAATGTATGCAGTAGATAGTGCTAGACTAGCAGTGTAGAATTCTTCAGATTCTGGCAGGTGGCTTAAATATCTTATTGTCCCTAGGAGCTACAGTTGTAGGTTGTCACCTTTACTTTCTTTTTACTTGATCCATCGATCAAATGAAGATTTTTAAAACAAACTTTTTTGTTTGTGTACAGCTGAAAGTACATTTTCTTGATATCATGTTTTTAAAGTTTTTTTTTAAATTCATATCATGTTTTTGTGTGTTCATATGAAAGGCTCTGTATATCCCATGTATGTAAACTATTCCTAATTTGGAAAGGTCAAACAACTCATTCAACAGATTGATGGAGTTAGTATTTAAATCATTCTTTTCTAAGCTGTACAAAGAAAATAAAAGGCTAGTGACAGCATGCTCACTAGCATGGTGTTCAAAACTTTTTTTGTTCTGTCAAATACTAACCAAGAAACAAATTCTAATTGTAGTCTTAGACTGGGTTCCCACAGATTTAGATCGATCCATCTGGATCCACCCAACTCCCTGGGGGTTCACGCTAAATTGTTGACAGCTGAGCGTGCGCGAAAGTTGATTGCCCTGTTACAGCTTTTAGTAGGCGGGACAGACATTTAAGCTGGCTAAGCTGATAGCAATCTAGTGAGACTCTCCACGGGGATAGATCGATCTAAAAATCTGTGGGAATGCAGTCTTAAAAGCTTGTCGGTTTAAACAAAAATGTGCCTGGGTAGGTTGTATTACTTGAACACCTTTCACATCCATAAAGCGACAATGCAGGCACGCATTTTGAATACTTGGGTTTGTTCTACAAGATAACATACTGTATAACATGTCAGGTGCTCTGCCCTGGACGTTTCTCCACTCAACCAGCAAACACCATCTGAATTTCATAAAAAAACAAAGATAAACTTGTGTCAATTGTATTTTATTCCATAAGGCACATGTAGTATTACATGGGTTAATTGAACTTATCTCTAAGATGACAGCCTGGTCGAACTTCTCCCCTGCCATTACCCAGAGCCACAATAGGAGCCTGCTGTTTGGGCCCATACACAAAATTTACTGGATACTGGAACATCACAACTTGACACAGTCTATTCAAGCACCTAATTAACACTGTTAGTATGCAACAACACATACATAAAATTAGTATAACATGTATAAAATCACTGGTATTCTTGTAGAAGAGTATACCAAGAAAAATGTGATACAAAAATTGCAGAGAAATTTTTGATTATCTGCCTGCAAGGTTCCTTGGCAGTGGTTAGAATGATTTGACTTTGTTACAAAAGACCTTAATTTGCACTTCATTAATAAAATAATAGCTGCCATAATGCTTCTGATGTAAAATCTTTCAATTATTGAGAAAAATTTACTCCAGGTTTTATAAACCATGAAGATGTGTTAATATGCTGGAATGTTCAAACCAAATACCTCAAATAACTCAATATGTGGCATAATTAGTAACCATTGCCTTCCTATTTTATAATAAGTCAGAAATGTTAGTGCTGGCTTCTATTTCCAAAATGATCTCAAACTGAAGATGTGATATCTGTGCACACAGTGGCTTGGTTTAAAAACAATGACTATTCATCCACTGCTGTGTCCCTTTCTTACTACTTCACCTTGTTGTTTAAATGTTCTCTGTTGATCTATATTGCTTTAAAGAATGTGACCTTGTACATCATAAATGACCTTTGTGACCTTGAGCTGACCTCATATTTGAGAAAGAAATCACCATGGCAACCAGCAGCATTAGTTTCAATCAGTTCCACAATTGGAATGGAGTCCAGCAGTTGTCAATATCGGTTTATAACTAGATTTAACAAAAAATATTAACATTGGTTATACTTGTATATCAACAAATTGATCTAAAATATGAATACATACTCTGAACTATAAGGCAAAAAAACAAAACAATACATATACTGTTAAAGCCTTTAACAAAGTGCAATATTAAATAAGTGATCATGATCTTTTCTCTTGACTAACTTTCACAGGAGGGCTTACAATTTAGCCACCAATCTTGACCTAAGGTTTGTTTGAGGGACACTCCTCACAAATCCATCCTGGGGGCTTTAGATGTTGGACCGCATTCATTCCCTTTGTGTAAATACAGCCGTCTTAATATAATTATAACAATAGTACAAAAAAAGCTGATATTTTATTTTATCTCTCTGTATTAACAATACCATAAAAGGTTGAATACTGATGTTTTGTGCTTTAATCATATTGGTAAATAAGTAGCATATGTATAAAAGCAATTCACAATGTGAAACAATGTCTTAAGAATAACACCAAGTCTTGGTATAGTTGGGGTAAAATGAAGGCCCCATGCTGATCTCTTGGCAGCACTGGTGGTGATGATATCAATATACTACTCAAAACAACCTCAAGTATGGGCACTGGCACTACAGTAACTTCCTCCACATTGCATGATTATGAGCCGTTTTAAAGGCCCTGTTATTTTAACAAACATGAAACAATATGACAACACTAGACAACATTTGGCATTTTCTACCAATAGGTTCAGTAACTAAAACATACAACTAAATACTCTATTAGATACTTATAACTAGAGCTCCACCTCCATATTGTAATCTGCCTCAAAGTCATCCTGGCGTCACTTCAGTCACCTTTCCTTTAACTCATATAACTTGTTAAATACACAGAACTAATCACACACATCTAACGAGACAGTTTACAAGGAAAATTTCTCCTCAGTATTCAAACAATGACCAGGTCAGTTTTCCCTTCCTTGGTCAGTAGCTGGACCAGACTACCACTGGCTGGACGCTCTTGGTTGGTGGTCCATTTCTCAAACAGCCTGCAACCAAAATGAATCAAAATTCTGTTACAAAAAATTAAACAACGAATACAAATTGTCAGGAACAGTTGATAAAATCTGCATTTTTATTTCTTGCAATAAGAATGTATACATGCAAACAAGCCTAGTTAGTCTGCCAATTTTTTTTCTTTTTTGAAAGTCTTGTTGACAAATAACTGCCAACAATGATCTGTCACTCCCCTCTCCCTCCAACCTCCGAGGGGGGGGCGGGGGGCAGGGGTCTCCAAGCAGCACTTACTCTGCCACAAAGTTGAGTGGTGTCCAAGTCGTCTGGTCAGCATCTGGCATCCACTTCCTGTTCATGGGGGTGTCCAGGGTGACTCTGAACACAAAATCTTCATACATTTTAAATAATGAAATAAACAATTAAAATAGTAAATCTACAATTTTATTTACGTGGTTGTCCTATATCTAAACCAATATTTCTCCACATTGTAAAACTCAAGTGGAAAGTGAACCAAGGCCACATTTATCCATGTAAAGTATGTTGTACAAAGACTGTCCACAGCAATGAACAGTAACTCCATGCGTTACTTACGGCAGTATTGCAGCCACCAGAGATTTGGCAGGAAGACCACTGTTAGGAGCAGCTAGACTAGCCACCAGCTGGTGAACTGCAGCTTTAGCCATACCATATCCTATCATACCTAGAACATTGAGAAAACCTTCATACATAAATATATATACACACCCTTGCTTTAGCCATACTATACCCCGATCATACCTAGAACATTGAGAAAACCTTCATATACAAATATATACACACACCCTTGCTTTAGCCATACTATACCCTATCATACCTAGAACATTGAGAAAACCTTCATATATAAATATATATAAACACTTGCCTAAGCCATACTATACCCGATCATACCTAGAACATTGAGAAAACCTTCATACATAAAATATATGCACACACCCTTGCCTTAGCCATACCATACCATATCATACCTAGAACATTGAGAAACCCTTCATATATAAATATATACACACAGCCTTGCCTTACCCATACCATACCCTATCATACCTAAAAATTTAAGAAAACTTATATATATAAAATATATAAAAACCCGTCTTGTAGAAGAAAAACTGGCAATAATCTTTGAGATGTTTAGACAAGATAATGTTTACCTGCCGTCCCCTGGAGAGCTGGCTGAGCACCTGTCAAAGCCAGGACACCACCCTCTTTGAGATGTTTGGCAGCCAGATGAGAGGAGATGATGGAGGTCCATACGCTCTGCTTCCACATCAAGTCACAATTCTTGACCAAATCTACAAAGATGAATTGAGAAGAGATAGTGAAAACCTAACCTTTTCTGTTACACATTTGACTTGTGGTAACAAATAGGTAATATATTGATGAAATATATCATCTTTTTTCCTTTTGTTAACACAAGTTACAACCCATGTCACAACAGATGAAAAGTTGTTGCATGAGAAAACAGAGCACTTGTACAACTGGGATGTACTGGATAAGTACCGATAAAGAATCTGTTTGGTCTTCAACACCTACCATCTTTATTAACTGACATATTAAACCTTTTTAGCAATAACAAAAACTTTTTAAAATATCCATTCAACATTGCTGTAAAAAAGGTGCTCATGATGAAGTTTCTGTAGCACAAATGAAAGATTAATGCTAGAGGAACACATGCTATTACCTTTAGAAGCAGCATTTCCCCCAGCCCATCCTCCAGCTACACAGATAATGGCGTCCACCTTCTCTCCACCCAGACTGTCGTCCACTGCCGCAGATACCTGCTGTTCCTGCTCCACCCATCTCTCTCCAGGCTTCACCAAGATGTTAGCATCTGCATCTTCATTTCCAACCAAATCGATAGAACCCACCCACTGAAACAACAAAATAAAATGAACACTTCAACAACAACAAACCTGCATAAATATGATCAAATATAATTGTCAGAACTAAGTCGCTAAGATATTGAGAAGGTGTGCAATAATCATCCTACCCCTGGAGATATTCTGCAATGCTGAATACATGAAACTTATTTCCTTGGGACACAGTGTGCATGCTTTACACTTTTGGGAAGAGGCAGGGGATCTAATCAGTGAAAATTATAAGACATTTGCCACACTTTGAATTATATAATTTGCTAATTTTAAACTTAAAAGTCATTTTGCATCGCTACACTAAACAGTTTGATTACTTAATTTTTACTCTTTTTATTCCAGGCATGCAGTAGCATTAGCTCTTACGCATGTCATTTGTAAGTGACAGGAGTTTTTAACACAGGGTGTTATGAGACCTTGACCTTATGTTGTAATAACTAGTGAAAGTGCTGAAGTATTTATTTAATTGTTGTTTCCTGAAAACAATTTAACAAGTTGTGTGATTGCCCCAAGGCTATCTAAGTTAAAGCCTTTTATTTTAATATTTTAACTGTTAAAACAAACGACGCATCAGCAAACAAGAAAAACAAGCACACTGAAAAAGATTCAGCAACTTAATTGGAATCATGATACGTACATATTGTCTGGCTTTGAAATAAGTAACGCACGCCGATCCAAGTGCACCTTTTCCACCGTAAACGAGTACACGAGCACTGGGCGCTGCCATCTTGGAGATGCAAATGCAAATTTTGCGCATCAGTGGAAGAATTTCTAATTTGCAAAGGCTCTCATTTTCTCTTTTTCACATATTTTCAATAAATGCCCATACAAAAGTGTTGTTTTATTGAAAATATGTAATTTTGTACTCTGATAATATCTGCTTCTCTTAATCTCGTTAGCTCGAGACTGGCAAGCGTGACATCATTCAGAGTGACTGAGGAAAAGTGAAAATAATTATTTATTAATTTTGCAAATCATGTCGATTGGTTCGTGATATTTATTATCCATGGTGTTATTCAATCAACACGAAGGAGTATCCGACAGCCTTAAGAGGTTTGTGATATCGTCGAGGCCTTAGAATGTCTCGCCATGAAGGTAGGTGTCTGCTTGAAATGAAGGAAAAATGGCTGTCGGCATGTGAGTCGTTCATTGTTCATTTCCTGGGTGTTTCCTTACATGTAGAGAACTATATGTTGGTTTTACACTCTGTCATAACATAGCCTAACTCTTGAGATTGCATCATCGTCTGACGTCCGAACGTTTACTAAATGAAGTGGGAACAACGCAAGTGGCCAACTACAACGCAAGCAGGATGTAAAGGGGGGGGGGGGGGTATGACATCGCATTCAAGGGACAGTTATTTCCTAATTTCACCAAGAACCTATAAAGTTTTACTACAAAACCTGCAACTGATATAAACTTGGTTGTTGATTTTAATAGTTGTGATGTTGAGACGGACCTTATCCCCTTTGCAGTAATGGTAATATTAGAGGTTGATTGAACTCCCAAGATGAAAGTACCTTGAGTTCACTGATATCCCTGACATTGTGTCTCTTTCACACAGAGTAGACTTAAAATGATACATGAACCAAGTAAATACTTACCTTGGTTCTTTTTGTCCTAAATGTGCCCATAAAGTATAGCACAGGTGCTGACCTTACTAATGCCCCAATATGGTGAGCCTTTGTTGATCACTAAAATTAGCTGAATCAGGGCCAAATGTCTTTGATGTTATATTCTTTATAATGGTTATGTAAGTAATATAAAAGTGTTTTGTTGGTCAGTTATATTTGTACATTTATTTCCCTAGGGGTTAGCTGTGATTCTTGTTTGAAGGGAAACTTTACAGGCCGGCGTTACAAGTGTTTGATTTGCTACGACTACGATCTTTGTGCTGCGTGCTATGAGTCGGGAGCCACCACAACCAGGCATACGACTGATCACCCAATGCAGTGCATCCTCACTAGAGCTGATTTTGGTAGGTTTTCTATTGAGATGTCTATGTATATGTAAAGTGCTGTCAATATGTTCAGACAGTCAACCCCAGGTTTGTTCATTGGTCAGCTTAGCTGGCTTATTAATAGTTCATGTTAATTTTGATCTTCTAATTAAAATCAAACACAATAAGGTAGAAAACACCTGTTGTTTTCCAGATTTATACTATGGAGGTGAAGCCCTGAGTGCAGAGGCTCCTCAGTCCTTTACCTGTCCTTACTGTGGTAAGATGGGGTTCACAGAGTCCTCCCTCCAAGAACATGTTACCACAGAACATGCAGATGTCTCCACAGAAGTGGTAAGATTTATATAGGATTGATATTACATAATAATGGTAAATAAATAAATAATCATTAAGGTTTATTCAGCCTTTTTATATTTATATTATAAATATATACAGGAAACAGAAATCATATAATTGCCAATTCAGGCTTCAAAAAAAAAAAAAAAAAAAAAACAAGAAAGAAAGAAATAAAATAAGACTGGCTGAAAAGAAAAAGGTTTAAGATCATCTATTCAAATAATATAACTAAGTTGCAGTTGGATAAAAAATTTTAAAAGTCATCATATATTTAGTGTAGTTAAAGGATTGTAATAAATGCTGGTTACATGGTGAAAGTGAATGTGTATATTCTGAACTATGCAGTAATTGCTAGTGTTCAGACTTTGACATGTTATGTTACAGGTTTGTCCTGTGTGTGCAGCGCTACCTGGAGGTGACCCAAACCATGTCACTGATGACTTTGCTGCTCACCTCACTCTGGAGCACAGAGCTCCTAGAGAATTTATATCCTTGGGACCACTGGTGTCAGTCATGTGTTATAGCATTTCAAGTTATTGTATTGGGAAATATCAATGGCATTTGTAGAGAAATACTTATATGGTAGTTAAAGGCTGTAGGGATAAATGAATCTCTTATCCAAGGTGTGGTCTAAATTTTGCTACAATAGGAACAGTGCTATAAGAATTTTACAACTATTTCATCCCCTCTTGTAAGCCATCTTTCCACCACTCTTGTCTTTTTCCTTGACTGGACCTTACGATGAGCCCACGGGCATACGGCATGTGCGTAGAATAGCCCACCCTGGGAGGGGCGTGGGCAGCACCAGGGCAAGGAGAACTAATATGCATTTTGGATCATCATCTGGCTCCTTGACTGGGATGACCCCTAGTGGCAGAGAGGCCATGGATCCAATAGCAGGTAAGATATGTAGATATTCTTGATTCATCTTCTTTGACAAAGGGTTGTTTCATTTTAGACTCTTGATTCTTTCCATTGTTTCCTCTAGACCTCTCTATATTATAGTTTGCTTCCCCTGCCTTAAATATTAAAGAGAAAGCCCCCCTTCCTCTACACTGGAGTTAGCCCCCCCTTCCCCTCAATATTAGAGATGTAGCCCTCCCTCCCCTTTATAATAGAGTTAGCTCCCCCTTCCCCTCAATATTAGAGATGTAGCCCTCCCTCCCCTTTATAATAGAGTTAGCCCCCCCCTTCCCCTCTATATTAGAGAGCTAGCCTCCCTTCCTCTACTTATTTCTTTTATGAAATCTCTCCTAAGAAAGTATTTGTATTGTATTGCAGAAACACATTATAGTTTATGTTTTGAATTTCTGGAAAAAAAATGGGTTATTATGTGCTTTTGGACTTTATGGAAATTACTAGAAGTGGATTGAAGAAAAAAAGCGAAATATCTATAATGATTAAACATTGTTTACAGTTTTTAATATTTTGGCTATGTTGTCTTTTTTGTTTGCTCTCTAGTTTTTCATGTAATGTTGTCCTATACGGGTTCTTTAAACCAATTAGAATTTTGATAGATGAACAACTATTCTTCTTTTCTTAAACCAAAAAAAAACTTACAGATCAGATATGCTGAAACTGACACAAGACACAGAGGAATCATTTTGCTAAATATTTCAAAGATAGAGCAAAACTTGTCAGACCATATCATCTGTGCTGCAAGTGATGCCAACAACTTGGTCCTTGCCTTTTGTTTCAGAGCTTCTCTCACAGTTGTCAAGTGTGCGAAGCCGAGCAGCTGCGGCGCAGAGTGTTTCCTCTCAGCTGCAGCAGTTGGAGATGCAGCTGCAGACCACCAGGTGAGCTGAACACCTGTCCAGGTGGGCTAGCCCCCCCCCCTGTAGACACCTGCCCAGGCAGGGGGTGTTGGGTGTGTTTTGATGTGTGGCACCTTGTGTTTTTGCAGAGTTACTGTCACAGCTGTCCGGGGCTCGTAGGACAGTGATTACTGGGGTGCCGCAGCAGTTGCACGAGTTACAGAGGCAGTTGCAATATGAAAGGCAGCAGGCTTTGGCAATGCGGTAAATATGGAGCATGGTCTTACTGGAGCTAGCACAGTCTATACAGTATGGTCTAACTGGAGTTAGTACAGTCTATACAGTATGGTCTAACTGGTGTTAGCATAGTCTATACAGTATGGTCTAACTGGTGCCAGCACAGTCTATACAGTATGGTCTAACTGGTGCCAGCACAGTCTATACAGTATGGTCTAACTGGTGCCAGCACAGTCTATACAGTCAGCTTCCACAGTGAGATTGTGTGTTATGGATTGCGCATTAATAGCACAGCAGTGCCACCAAATGTTCTAGTTCTGTGTGAACTGACCCAGCTAGAACAGTGTGTGAATCTAAATGTGCCCTTATATGGGATATGGTAAAGTACATGTGTAGCAAGGTTATCATTCCAGCTTCTCCCTTACCCCAGGCATTCTCTTTTAAAAGATGAATAAGGTGGATAATTGGCATAAATGGATCTAAAGTTATTGAAAGCATTGAATGTTTGTCATATCAGGGTGTAATGTGAATGCCTTTAATACTAATTATTCCAGTATCCAAGTCTGTAAGTGATACCCAAGTCCTGCTTTTGTTCTGTGACAAGATATATATTTATGTCCAGTTATCCTTTGAGGAATATCAGTTCTGTTATTCTTTGAGGAATAGCAGTCCTGTTATCTTCAGTGAGAGAAATGTCAGCTCTGTTTTCCTCAGTTCAGTAATCCTTTGAAGACTATCAGTTCAGTTATCATTTGAGGAGTAATCAATTTGTTATCCTCAGTCTGATGAATATCAGTTTTGTTATCCTCAGTGTGATGCCTAAGCTCATAATTTCTATAATGGTCGTCATCTGCAATTTTTTTTTTTTTTTTTCAGACAACAATTAGAAAGACTTCCTAACCGACGGCCCGCGGACTCCCTGGCGTCCAGGACCCAGTCAGGGGCGCTGAATGCTAACATAGACCTTCCCAGTGCCAGCAGCGCCACAAGTGCAAATGCAAATTCCCAGTTTCTTTTAGCTAGGTAAGACCAGCAGACAGCCTCAGTTTCAGTTGACTTTTATTGAATTGTTTATTTTATGTCTAGTGGTTTAAACCATCCTTGTCCTGAGATCATCATATTGCTGTTGTTTAAGTCATGTGACAGCAGGCTTGGCTGTTACTGCTATACTTAATTCTTGGAAGTGAGGAGGAGGAGAGTGAGGTAGGGTGGAGTATAATCAGTGAAGTATGAACCTGTCACACCATCACTTATAATGCTGATCAGTTACAGTATATTTCTATACACAGATCTGTACAAACTTACAACTACAATTCTTCTGTTGTTTCCAGATGCCAGGAGGCCCCCCTATCTGAGCTGGAGCAGCAGACAGCCGAGAGTGAGCGCGCTGACCGCAGCTTATTTGTCCAGGAACTGCTATTATCCACTCTGACTGACCAGCTTCATCTTAAAGATGAGCAAGCTTCATGTGATGGCCAGGCTCATGCCTTAAACATCAGCATAGCTGATGGAGAGGACAAGCACCTGCTCTCAAAGCAGAACTCTCACAAGAACTTGAAACACTCTGATAACAATAAGAAGGAGCGTGAACCACCCCCACATTCTTAGTGATGTGTGGGATGAGGAATTTGAGCTGCACCCACAGTATCCTAGATATAATGAATTCTAGGTGCACCAAGTCCTGGTGATGTTCATGTTGATCACATCCACAGCTGGGGAAGGAGTAGACATGTGAACAGCACCTGTGCCATGTTATGTTGACCAGAGACCAGGGGACACCAGAAAAGTGGTGAAATAGCCTGCTGTCCTGGCAGTGTTGACCAGAGACCAGAGGTACAACTATGGCCTCCTCTCTCCTGGTAGTGCCATGCAGCATTGTGGACAGGAACATTGTTGTGATCACAGTCAGTTTTATGTTGCTAAGACGGAGATATTTTAAGTTAATTATTTATTCATCTGGACCCAGTTCTACACCCAACTGATTTCCTGCTGAGATCAACTCCTTTCTGTTATTTAACTCAGACTGGGAGAATTGAGCTACAGGTTCTAAGAAGATTGTTTTCTAACATCCATGGCACTAATATCACGTCACTTGAATAGAACATGCTTTTTATATTGGCATTTTAATATAATTGTAATGTTGTTTGTGGTAATCAACTTGGAATGATTGTATCTCCAAATTTATTAGTACTATATCTGAATGCTGTGGTGGAACAGCTTTAACTCTTGATATTTTTCAAGACCGACATAAATATCTTTGATCCTAATTGAATGCATCAGTTTATTGGTGGTCACTGCCTAGATGACCACTCTACTATGTGACCAGAGTTCTGCTCCCTTACGAAAAAGGCCTATAAGATCCTATACAATTCTATAGGAAATTGGGCCAATTTCCTATAGGCTCCTATAGGACTTTTTCGTTAGGACCCTCAGACCACTCTATTACCTCTCTGCTTTAATAAATGAAAAGAAAAGCTTGAAGGTTCTAAAACTCATGTTTTCACCAGATTGCATATTCCAAATATTTATTTAGACTATAAATGATACCAGAGTGCAGAACTTGTCTTTTAAGCTCTCATTTCAAGTTATATTAACACATGCAATCCTATTGGTATCTTGTGCTTTCACGTGTCCTTCCAAGATGGGAGAATTTTCTTAATTAGATGGAATTTCAAGTTATATATCAAAGCATGCCTTGTGAATATTTGGTTGTTTTGAACCAGTATGTGCGCAAGTGTCAAGTGGATGTTGAGAACTAAATTGTTTGCTCACTGAGGTGCAAAGAGTATCTTGCCATGTGTCGCCCTCTAGTGTGAACAGTGACCTAATGCTATAGTGCCAGGTTTCTTTAATAATCCCATGTATAACTGATCATTTCATTACCAAACTGATGGACTTTATGTACCAAAGATGTTCCATATTGGTTGTAAAATGTTGATTATAAAAAACTGATTGTGATAAAAGTGGATTCTTTGTATCTACCATGTCTGCTGGTTATAACTGTATCAGTGGTCTGCTGGACAAATTCTAAGAATGACATGCATTGTTAACACAACCTTTTGGAAAATTAAATTCTTTTAAGAAAGAAATAGACTCAATCAACAAAGGTTAATTTTATGTGTTCAGTTTAACACAGGCTTTCTTAACTTGGTGCAGTGACTAAGGCCCCATGTCTGATATTTATAGGTGGATAAGGATTTGGCCTACAAGGTTTCAAACTCCAAAAATAAGCCTATTAGTGCAAACTGTAGCCTTTGACATAGGAATCCCTAATGAACACACCTGTACCAGCTATTGAGCCTCCTAAACTTTCACTTCTGCTAGATTTCTCTCCGGCTTACCAAGGGCCAATTCCCAATAAAACTATGGTTCTACAAAGATCAATCCAACTCTGAAGGGACTGTGAGGGGACTATCACTGAATGCAATCTGACATACTCTGAGGGGACTATCACTGAATGCAATCTGACATACTCGTATAAGCACCAGCTTTTCTGTTGTCTGCTCAATGCCAGAAAGAGGTTTATAAATATTTTCATTTGATTGCCTTCAGCAAGTTTCCACAGAATTAGATCAATCAGCATAGAACTTAAGTTGCATGGGGGATGAGCCCTACAACATATTGTTTCTTTAATTCTTCTCGGTGCTTGAAATTTGGTAAAATGAGATGGCTATTGTACCTTTAAGAACAATTTGCAATAATAATTCCCATTTCAGTCAGGGCAAACCATTTATCGTAACCCGAAAACTGAAAATTACAATCTTTTTAAATAGTTTTATTAACAAAAGGACGTGATATTGAAATAAAAAGCAATTTGATAATTAAATATCTATTTAACTATTACATGGTATACCTATAATAACCCCCATGACTTCACAGTATTACAGCAATTATTAAAGACTTTCATGTTGAATTTGAAAACTAAGATCAATCAATCCACATTCATAAAACCACTTTTAAGTTGAACAAATCAAATGTTTTCTAAAACTGAGTAAAAATATAAAGATCAGGACAAATGTTTTCATAACATGTTTCTGCTATGACATTTCACAAAATGACATGTTTTACTTTATTTACTAAAAAAGAAAAAAATTGATAAGAATAGTTTTCTCAACTCTTTTTGGAAAATGAGGGGAAAATGGGATATGGGTGAATTTTAGCCTTTGCTGTACAAGCCAACTACTAAAATATACGACACTTAAATGACAACAATTTGTCCTGAACTTAACAAGTGATAATGCACAATTTACACATATCCTCTAAATAAAGCATTCTTATACTTTATTCATTTTCTGTGATTTTTAAAGTTAGGTGATTCAGGAGAAGGAGATGTTTTGAACAGATTTGAAGAAAAGAGCTTGCATCATGACATTTCATTTCCAGAATCATCATCATCTTCCTCATAAACATTGTCATCATCATCATCGTCATCAATATCATCTCCGTAGTCATCATCATAAAAGTCTGCAGCATCCATAGAGCTGTCTGAAGGTTTGGGATTTGTGGATACACAGTAGTCTTCTAATGTGGTGGGGACAACAACTCCATCTTTTTCAGCTTCTTGCTTTGTAGCTTGAACTTGTTTTCTGAAATACAGATTAAATATTCATAAAACAAATGATTTCAACCCACTCACAACAGGAAAGGGCATTTAAATGCCACAGTTGATACGTTGCTAAATGTTGCAAATAGTCCAATTATAAACTCGACATCTTTTTAAAACTAATGATTCTGTTCATCCAAGCATAACAAAATCAATTGTAAAGGTCTTTAAATAACTCCAGCTGCTTAAATAAAACAGCAAATGTTGCACCCACCTAATTATATTTTCATATTCTTTATCTCTTCCTTTGGATTCTCTCCATTTTCTATACATAACTGATGCATCCACATTGGCTGGTGAAAATGTGTTAGGTTCATTTAACAGGGAGATAATGCTCAATAAAACTGTGCTGAAAATAAAAAGAAAAGACACATATGACTTGATGCATTGTGAACATCAAGACCCCATTCCCATAGATTTTAGATCGATCTATCCCTGTGGGGAGTCTCACTAGATAACTGTCAGCTATAGCTTTTAGTAGGCGGGACAGACATTTGAGCCTGCTAAGCTGACAGCAATCTAGTGAGACTTCTCATGGGGATAGATCAATCTAAAAATCTGTGGGAATGCAGTCTAAGACAGCAGTTGCCCCTTCTCTCCTAGCACTTCCTAAGACACCAGTCATCCCCTTCTCCCTTAGTACTTATTAGCTTCTTTAATGACTTGTCTAGCAGTTTTCATTGGTCAGAATTCCTTACCGAACATTTTGTGTAGGGTTCCATCTCTCACAAGGCAGCTCACCACTGTGGGGATCATCGACAGGAGGATGCAGTATGGAAATACATACATCACCATTCTAAAACAAACAAAAGAATGTAGCAATCCATAGCATTGCCTCACACAACTACACTGTAGATATGCCTGGTATGTTAGATCTGACATTATTATAGATGTGACAACAAAAAACAAATGTATGGGAAAAATTACAGAATTGTTTAACAAGTTATACCCAGCTTACTTCATAAACATTTGGATGCCACATCTTGGTGAGGAATTTGACTGAGGGTGGAGAGTACGGGTAGTCTGAAGGAAACTTCATATGAGCCTGAAATGGGGCAAAAATAGCAATCATAAAACAAAGAAAATGAATGCTTCCACTTTATCCTTAATTGTTGTTTGAAGTTCATCAAAATTTCACAATTAATTTAAAAATTAAAGTAGCTTCACCATACTTGACTTGCCTAACTAAACTAATACAAAGACCAGATATACAAAATGCTTGCAACTATATTCATTAACCCCATTCACACGAGACACTTTCAATCGCGATTAGTGCCAAATCGCGATTCTATCGATGTAAAGCTTCTAGTGTGAACGCAGTAGAGACGCCAAATCGCGATATAAAATTTCCTAGTGAGAACGGGATCGATGTTAACACCGGAAGTTGAGGACTTATGTCGCATGCACAGTTTCTATGGAAAGTACAATACAATACAGTACAATAAATTTTATTTCATGTCGGGTATAAATTGAAACGAAACATTAGCTAAATACAGATATTCGCCGACTGGAAAGTGAAAGAAAACAAACTGTCCACGCAATTTCAAGTTTCTTCGCAGTCAGCAAAATGGCCAAGAGGACGTACTGGTATGAAAACTCAGTGGCAGCATAACTAAATATTTGGGCCGATGAGAGTATTAAACAGAAAAGAACACCGTACACACCGAAAGCATGGTCTTGAAGGCAGCTACTGCGCATGATCAACAGGATATACCGTGACTCCCTAGCGAGCGCAGTTGCAATTACCAGATCTAGCAAGGTAAATCGCGATTTCATTTTTACATGTGTGAACGCAAAAAAGTGAATTTAGCTAAGCGCGTTAGAATCGCGATTCCCTAAATCTCGATTAACCATGTAGGTGTGAATGGGGCTATTATCTATTTAAGGGGATAACAGCTGTTAGTTTTGCCAAAAAAAAAAAAAAAGAAGATATTTGCCTGGGGTAATCAGTGATTTCCCATATTTACCAATGGTAATGAATTCATTCCAACATTCAAATTTAGTCAATTTTTTTCCTAAATCTTTTTTTTTTTTTGTTGTTGTTATAACCTCCCAAGAGATCATTTACAAAGTAAAGCCATCTATAGATAAAGGTCAGGTGGTCTTATGGCAAGCACAGATTCCAGAATAATTGCCATGACAGTCATTTTGGTGGTAAAATGAAATTTATTAAATTTATATGAGTTGTTTACAAGGTATTTATTGTGAAATATGAATCTCAGTTATTATCCCATTTACATATTGACCAAATCTATTGTATTGCTTGGGTACTGTTTTAAAAAAAACTCCCTTTTATCATTCTCTTGACTGGAGATCTACTTCACAAATACACCCTTTTCTGTCATGATTTTAATAACTTATGCTTCATGGTCTGGTGTTATCTTTTTACATAAAGAAATATTTGTTATTGATCTTTTATGAACATTCATAATTTTAACTTTTAAAATAAATGCTGTTGTGTCAATCCAATAATGTTCTATTCCAGTAATATTCTTACTCATACTGATTCAATTTTAAAAGGGTTGTTAAGGATAAGATTGGCTTTAAATAAATAAACTTCAACTTGACCTTGCTGAACCTGAGATATCAAAATACTTAGGTAAGCAAATAACATTTGCCAAATCAAGACAACTGTACTGACAGCCTAAATAACAAACATGGAACACTCTGGGATCCGTCATCAACACAATTTGGAAAACAAACTTTCCTACATGTTGCTGTGACAATGAAATAGTTCTAGAAGAGTATTAGTTCAATGGATGTATTCCAATGAGGTTACTTACAAATGGAAAGACACATCAATATGGAAATTAAGAACAGGTATCAAGTGAAAATTTTGTCTATGACCTAAATCTGCAAAAGTAACCTAACCACATTCGTTAGGAAAATGTCATTCCAAGTCAAGGTAAAATTTGTTATCAGCTACAATTACAGGTTTTTATTCAAAGAGGAAATGACTGCTACCACAGTGTAAATTATACTAAATGATGTGTCCTAAGAAGACTCATCAAACTGACATATGAAGAACATATATTCTTGTAAAAAACACTAATCATACTCAGGAACTACTGGAATTTGAACTCTATCTTTGCAGCTATTCACTAGAAATATTGTATTATGGTTCCTACAGGAATACAGTGATTCTATGATTTCCTTTGTTCCAAAGATTATACCAGGTCAGTGAGTGTGGCCAACATCCTGCTCTACCATCATTCAACCATCCATCATAATTATAATCCTGGTTCATACAAAGCAAATCAATCTCCTCACATTTACTGCTGTCATGAAGATAAAAACTGGACAAAAAATTGGGATCTCGAACAACAAAAACAAAACAATTAATTAAATAAATAAATAAAAACAATAGAAATATCTAAATATTGTTTTCCTTCCAAGTCCATTCCACACATACAGAGTGCAAACAATGACTAAGGAAATTGTGAGTAATTTTGAAAACAATAAAACCACATTTACTTTATTAATTGATCATGTCCAAATTGGCTTTCTATTTTACTAGTGCTGCTTTTGTTTTGTGCTGTCTACATCAAAACATTTTCCAAGTCAATTAAAAATCTCTTTGTGTTTTCAATGGATATATATGACAGCTGGCCCTCGTGACCTGGCATACGAGGTTAAGTTACTACCTAGAAATGGGCAAGTTGGGAAGGCTTTAATAAGCTTTTCAATCTTATAAATAGAAAAATGTGGGGCATAATATACAGACCTTAAAATAACCAGCTTCGTACAGCGTGCCCGGAGGACCAAAAATTGCCACTTCCCATTCGAAAAGATTGTCGTCATTGCTCAAATGTACACGGAACCCTTCAACTGGTTCTTCTTGAATTTTCTTCAGTTCTAATTGAAGAGCGCGCACAGCACCGCTAGTAGGACTCTGTGCCATTCGGGCTCAATGATCCCGACAACAAAAAGTAAAAAATACGTTGAAATAAATCAACTGCAGGGAAAGCTAATGTTTTTCTTCCTCTCTTGTTGTTCTCCGATACCCAATATGGCAGCTCTTTATTACGTCACGTTGAAACAAGACGGAAGTAAAATCAGAGATGTAAATAGTATAATCAACTTTTTTATTCACATTTAAGATAAATGAATAAATCTATATATTTTTCTTTCATTATTTATCCTAAGATTTTGCTATTTATTAGCTCAAACGTCAACATCTACGTGAACGACAATCTGAAGTGGGTCCATTAATCCATGTTATTCATTGCAATATGGCTGCTTCGCTATGTCCGGAAGAAGAGCAGGTTTGTCGAATTTAATTAATGGATTTCAAAGAGATCGGTCGGAAATTTTTGAAATATTTTGTAATATCTTATATTTTGTTTTCCTTTGTAAGCTAGCACGCATATATCAACGAGAAAATAGTTTGTCGCCATGCTGTAAGTGGTTAATTGGTTTTGCCTTAAAGATTTGGAATCAAGATTGAGTTGAGATCTTCGCACCTTCCGTGACTGTCTGGGATAGTCGCTGAAAGCGATCTGTAGGGAACACTCGGTGCATTATATCTATGTTTTCATTAATTTATCTTTCTGTTTTCTTTTTAAAAACCGTGGTATCATAAAATGCAAGACGGCGGTGGAAATGATTTATTTTAATATGAAAGGATCATTTACTTAGATTCAATTCGGACATGACCATCACTTCCGGCTTTATTTACCGGAAGTTATGGTGAAATCTTTTTAGTATTTCTATATATGGATGATTAGGATGTGGACTTTGTAAAGCCTGCTCCATTAGTTAGTCAGTTGTACACTCCTTCAATATCTTGTGAATTGACCTCAGTTTTCTCTAAGTCGATCTTATTTATACATCCCTGGATAACATGAAGGGCACTTTAGATTTTGTGAAAAATGAGGTAAATATTTGAATAACACAACATTTTAACTTTTTAGGCTCAAACTTTTAAGGACTTTCAGTTCATTATGATGTTATTTAAACCTTAATGTTTTGTGTTTGTGACTGTTTGTGTGTGCATGTGTGTGTGTGTGTGTAAAGCGGAGAGTTTTTTACTGGTGTACAGAAAACAGATATTTCCAAGATATTCCATTGTTTGCAGACTATAAAATTATGTAGTAATAAGTAACTGTAAGTTTTCCTTGGTCTCTCAGGCAGCAGTGGCCTTCTTAAAGGAGGTGAACCAGCCCCAGACCAATGGACAGACTGCCCCCACAGTCACCTGGGAAGAGGCTGTCAAGTTCTTAATGGCTAGAAAATTTGAACTTCCTCGTGCACTGGACCTTTATAGAAACCACAGGGTAAGATTAGATTGTTTCACTCTTTCATCAGTATTATTGAACAATTTGATAAGCTTCTTGTCTTTTTCAATATTGCCAGTTGAGTTATCCCTTTGATAAGACATAGTAGATGTTAGGTGTTGGTGTAAATACTACCTTATATTAAAGGTATACCAACAAAAATTCTGTCAAATATAGTTATTTGATGGTATTTTTTCATTGATATATTAAAGACAGTAAAATGAGCAAGCTGCATGAATAAAGAATAATCTTGAAATGTGTGTCTTCAGTGATGATAACATACTGGAAAAAGACCATCCACTGTGAGAAACCCAAGCTAACATTGCCAAAAATTTTCACTAATTTTGTAAAAACCTTGTCAGTGTGTAGATTACTGTAAATGACTTATACATTTCAGCTAATCAGACAAAGAGAAGGCTTGATTAACCTTTACCCCCTAGACAAATCAGTGCAAGTGGAATTGCTGTCTTTAAAATTTACAATCCTGGTAAGTATTGAACTGAAAACAGTAAGTGATGATATTTCATACAGCTGTCTCTCTTATCTTTGTGTGGTAGTTTCTCCAACCTAACAACTATTCATTGTAAGTCCCTTCAATCGTTGTAGTATATGACAACAAACCAGCAGCTTGTGTTCACTATTGCAGCCCGCCAGGGACAGCAGTGGGGCAGCCATAGCCCTGTTTACTGCACGTTACCACAACCCCGCCAGCACCTCACACCAGGCCGTGTTGAAAGCCTTGATGTTCCAGCTGGACTCTGCTCTTGAAAGGTAACAACTACACTACTGGATAATATAGGGAATTCTTTAAGTTATCTGGTGTAACCTACACAACTACACTACTGGATAATATAGGGAATTCTTTAAGTTATCTGGTGTAACCTACACAACTACACTACTGGATAATATAGGGAATTCTTTAAGTTATCTGGTGTAACCTACACAACTACACTACTGGATAATATAGGGAATTCTTTAAGTTATCTGGTGTAACCTACACAACTACACTACTGGATAATATAGGGAATTCTTTAAGTTATCTGGTGTAACCTACACAACTACACTACTGGATAATATAGGGAATTCTTTAAGTTATCTGGTGTAACCTACACAACTACACTACTGGATAATATAGGGAATTCTTTAAGTTATCTGGTGTAACCTACACAACTACACTACTGGATAATATAGGGAATTCTTTAAGTTATCTGGTGTAACCTACACAACTACACTACTGGATAATATAGGGAATTCTTTAAGTTATCTGGTGTAACCTACACAACTACACTACTGGATAATATAGGGAATTCTTTAAGTTATCTGGTGTAACCTACACAACTACACTACTGGATAATATAGGGAATTCTTTAAGTTATCTGGTGTAACCTACACAACTACACTACTGGATAATATAGGGAATTCTTTAAGTTATCTGGTGTAACCTACACAGCTACACTACTGGATAATATAGGGAATTCTTTAAGTTATCTGGTGTAACCTACACAATTACACTACTGGATAATATAGGGAATTCTTTGTTATATTTTACCAAAGTAAGTAGCATTATACATTATGTGTCATGACTAATTAGCAAATGCTTCAGAAAACAATTCATTATGTGTCATGACTTATTAGCAAATGCTTCAGAAAACGGGAAAAAAACAGATGAATTCCCTCATCACATAGTACATGCATATCTGAAAAAGCATACATCTTCAACTTCCTTCTATTTTTCAGCACTGAAACTCAAAGGAATGGACTAGTATTTATTTATGACATGACTGGATCAAAATACAGCAATTTTGACTATGACCTAAGTATTAAGATATTGGACTTGCTAAAGGTAAGGAACATTGTTATTGACTGGTTAAAAGGGTTGGAGTTAGGACAACATTTGCATTATTTAAAAAAAACAAAATAAACAGTTGATGTCAATACCAAAAATATTAAAATTTGATGCAAGACTTATTTTGTGATGTTAATTAAATTAACTGTCTCAGATTTTTATTTCTAATATCTGCAGAAGACTAACATAGTAGCATGTTGTGTTTTCCTTACTGATATTTCTTTTGTATAAAAAGACTTCTGTCATTCCAGGGTGGTTTTCCTGCCAGGTTAAAGAAAGTCCTGGTTGTTACAGCACCCTTGTGGTTCAAAGCTCCCTTCAAAATACTCAGATTATTTGTACGACAAAAACTTCGAGACCGGGTAAGTCTGGCCCTGGGCTCAGAGTGGTGGATCTGCTCATTTGTTACAAGTCAATAAAGTACTGACTGTTATGAATTGCTACAATTACTGTAGCATTAGAGTGAGACTACGGCCATGTCTGAAATCAGTGTGCACTCTTGTAGTATGATTTGTCCTGTTTTAACTGTGCCTTTAGAATTATTCCTTCTTATTATTGTCAGTGGCAAACAGCCAGGGAGAGCTGAGGTAAGAAAAGCACACCACGATGTACATGGCTGGTTTTCTATTGCAGGTATTCACTGTGAACAGCCCCCAGTTGACAGATCACATCCCTGTGGAGTCTCTTCCCAAACAACTAGGGGGAACACTAGATGTGGACCATCAGGCATGGCTCAAACATTGTCTCAAACATGGTGCAATGAAAGTGGATGACAAGATGTTTGAAAGCTTTCTCAAAGCAGCAAGGAATGATTCTAATATAGTAGTAGCAAACAGTGTGAAAGGCACCTCTGACAATAGTCCCGTGTCTCCTGTCAGTGAGGACCTGGACTCCCAGGGCTCCAAGGAGACTGTCAGTGAGAAACATAACCATGAGGAGAGAGAGAAAGAAGTAGAGGAGGAGAAACCTGGGAATGAGGCCTCCAGAGACATGAACGGCCAGGCCGAGGTTTACACATTAAGTAACAGTGATGAGTCCAGTGAAGTGGGCTCACCCCCCTGTAAGAGGGCCGTGGAGTCCTCCCCTGACCTAAGCCCAGTGTCTGGTCAGCTCCAGCCACAACTGCCCAGGAAGAAGCGTCCGGCAGATGCAGACTTTGATGATGGTTCCATTCATACCTCACAGAACCAGGGCATGTCTATAGAGGAGTTTGCTAAGATGGTGAAGGCCAAGGGGAAGCAGGGACTGTACAAAGAGTATGCTTTCCTGAAGGCAGAGGCACCAAAAGGCACATTCAATGATTCAAAGTAAGTGTCTGCATTATAGGATCTGACAAAAAATCTAATATTTCTTTAAGTAAACTTCAAGGCAGACTGGTGATCTAAACATATATTGTACATGAACTGAAGTAATTACACATTAGTTTCTTCATCTTAGAGATAAGGATAATGGCAGCTGTGTATTTCAGAGCTCGGCACAATCTCCCCAAGAACCGTTACACTGATGTCCTGTGTTTGGACCACAGTAGAGTGAGACTAGAATGTATTGATGGGGACCCCACCACTGACTACATCAATGCTAACTTTGTGGACGGGTACAAGCAGAGAAATGCTTATATATCCACACAGGGTAAGGGAGCATTTGTGTGTGTGTGTGTGTGTGTGTGTGTGTGTGTGTGTGTGTTTGAGAGAGAGAGAGAGATAAGGGGGGGGGGGAGAGATATAAAATTTGCTTCATCTTCAGTGTTATTCCTGTTCTCCAGGGCTTTTCCCAGGATTTGGGGTACAGGCTGTCCAAAAGTATCACCTGTAATTTCCCACAAAATTTCAGGGAGTCCAAGCCATTATTTTTCAAAAAATAATAAGCTGTCCAGCTGTCTTTGAAAATATAGGCCGTTCAGTGATAGTGGCCGCAGTCTAAATGACCACTGAATGGTTTGCTGGGCAAAGCCTTGCTGCGCACGCATATGTCATTGAAGTTTTAATATTTTACTCCTTCAGTATAAGCTGAGAAAGGGGGAAGTGCACGTATGTATACATCTCCATATTGAAAAACGTCATGTTCCAGCTTGTCTCAAGTCTAATACACTCAGATGCCCTCCAGCTTATGTTTGGCATTCAGAATTCCATGCAGTGTGCTTAACAATTTAAAAAGATGTCATAGCTCATGAAAACCCAAAATTATTCCTTCAGCCAAAAATGTTCCTTAAAAACCGACTGGATTGCTTAATAAAGAAAGCAGTATCCACCAGTTTTCCTATTTTAAGTTTATCCTCCTTTGCCTGTGCTGCCAAGTTCTCATGACTCCTGCTTATGACATCAGCACAGTTCTGGCGAGGTGTGGCACCAATGTAAACAAACCACAGAGTGGTGAACTGAACCAGAATATCTACATCTAAACACATACTTCTTATAAACACTGCTTGTTGATACCAGCCAGCCATTAGAACAGCCTCCTGCAGTACTTTGAGACAACAGATTCATGATTGACAAGTCCAATTACCTGTTACACCTAGAGTCAGCTCTCTATTGGTTTTTCCACTTTCTGTTTCCAAGGGCTAATTATATGTTCATCCATTTATATTGATGGAGAAGGAACAGTAGTCAGTTTGTCTTGAAATCTGATTCTCCTTCAGTCTTAAAAGCAAGAACTTCTTCATGATTGTTAAGAACTGGGTGAAAAACTAACTTGGTCAATGACTTTGATTTCACCATTTTGATGGTTGGTGAAAAATGCTGATATTCTTTTCATTAGAATTTTATCATAATTCTTTACCTAGGATTGGTTAGTTGAAACATTGCATTTGTATCATCTCTTATTGCTTTAACTTCTGTGACGAATAAACGCCCCCCATCCCTTCAAAGATTAATGCTGCTGTTGCACTCCCAGTGGAATTGTTCAAGTATAGGTTTATAAAAACTTATTTTAATTGCTCTTCTCTGAGATCATTGTTGACCAGTAAAATTCATTATTTGTATATCACCTTTGTTACAGTATGTAAGCCTCTGTATATTTTGAATGTTTGTATTTTTAAGTTATTATTTCTATATAAATTATACCCATGGAAAGAACTTTTTTTTCATTCATAAGTTGAAGTGTTAGATGACAGTTACAGGCCTGTTTTTATCCTTTGATCACAAAGAAGATTTTATGTAAAATAAAGTATTATGTCCTTTTCAGGGCCACTTCCAAAGTCTTTTGATGATTTCTGGAGAATGGTCTGGGAGCAGCAGGCACTGATCATAGTCATGACAACAAAGTGAGTTTTGATGAAATAAATGGTGATGATCATCATGACAACAAAGTGCTGGTCATTGTCAGGGCAACCAATTGGTGTTTTATTCTTCTCTCTAGAAATATAGTTTGTCAGGTGCATTAAATAACAATGTGCATGTGCAGTTTGTATCAGGCAGCTTTCACTTGTGAACAGTTGATTATTTGAACTATACACCTTTATCAAATAGACTTAGTTGAACTAAGAGAAAAATTATCATATATGTCATAGTCTAGAGTTAAATTTATAATTTGAAAACTTAAACTGCCAATAAAAATGAAATAGAAGCAAATTATTCTGTGCACTGTGACCACATGCTGTGATATGTAACTATTTCAGAGCTGTGGAGAGGAACCGTGTGAAGTGTGGGCAGTACTGGCCTAATGAGGAAGACACCTATGAACAATATGGAGACTTAATTGTTATCAACACCAAAATAGAACTGAACAAAGATTACACAGTCTCTACACTAGTAATACAGAACCCTAAGGTAGGGGGAGGTTTTTATCTTTTCACCATTATGATAAATATCAATAATAAAAAACAGAATGAGTGTGCATTTTGAGATTAAAGTTATAGTTGTAAAAAAGGACCATGCCCCTTAAAGAAATGCGAATTCTAGAATTGTGAGGCACTAGGAGGGTTATAACAAAGGTAAAATAAAACAATCTGTAAACTTTCAGACAGAGGAGCACAGGACAGTGACCCACTTTCAGTTCACCAGCTGGCCAGACTATGGCGTCCCCCACTCGGCCTCAGGATTCCTTGACTTCATGTTCCGGGTACGTCGACACCAAGAGCAAAGAGTGTCAGAGCTTGGTGGCAGCTGGAAAGGCCACCCCCTGGGGCCCCCCATAATTATACACTGCAGTGCTGGAATAGGGAGAACAGGTTAGTATGGGTATATTACCTCTGACTTGGGTTATATCAGCTGGAAGGGTCATTAACTGGGATATAAGCTGTACTATTGGCATTGGGATAAATAGAATTCCTTGATAGCTTCAATTTTAATTTTAAGTAATTCTCTTATATAACTTTGATTGGTAACTCTTCATTTTTTCCCATCCCTGTAACTGCCTTCTTGTAACTGACTCCCTGTAACTGCCTTC